TTATTTTATTAGGATATTCAGAAATATTTTTTATGAAGATAAGATTAATTTTACTACGCATGTCCTTAATTTCAAATATTATGTAATTATTGGAACTTTATGTATCTAATAATTAAATCATTAAATTTACTTAGATATCATTTTAGTATCTAAATCCTATCAAAACATATAGTAAAAAAGTAGATTTTATGTTATTTAAAAAGTTAAGTATTACGTAAATAAATATTAAATTTAGATGCTAATACATAAATACACATAAATTTTACAGTATGAATATGTAATAGCCTTTAATTATATTATAGGATAATAAAAATATGTATATAACATATATCAAATATAAATTTTCATAATTTTTTTTCCTTTAAGGGTAAAAGAAGGGTTTTAATATTAAATAACTCATAGAGGTTACATAATTTTTTTATTCTCTCTCATTTAGGAGAGATTATTACTTACGACGACCGCATATAGAGAATCGTTCGATTTTGTCTCTATGAACAGTAAAAGCACAAATATTGTTTATCACTGCGCTTTTAATGTTCAACACTACGTTTTTACTGTTCACAGAGATAAAACCGAATGGTTCTCTGTGTCTGATCTTCGCCGGGGATGGATCCAGCTTTTTTTTAAGGATGGGCAAAAAAAAAATTTTTTTTTTTGTGGGGATGGATAAAGACGCTTAGGATTGATAAAATTAGAGAAAATTTTTTTTTGACAGGGGGCAAAATACCTAAAATATCCCCTCTAAAATTTAATATTTTTTTGAGTGGGCAAATAACACACCCCCCTCAATACATGAGGGATCTGCCCATGATCTCCGCACATAATAATCTCTTCTCATTTAGGGTACTTAGGGCATGTTTACTTTGAAAAACTATGAGCATAAAATAAATCAAATATAGAGAATTTGAATTTCCAAGTAATATAAAGAAATTTAAGTGCAGGGCAATCTTTTAAAATATTTGAAATTCATAGCTTTTTTTCATTTTCAATATACATTTGAACTTGGCCCAATTTTACTAAATTCCAAAAATATTGAAAATAGGAAGCTTCACTCGCAGCTGCCTGTCATTACCCACCGCCACCTCTCCAACACTGTTATTCACCGCTATTGTTACCACCATCATCAACACGACTACCAGCCATTGCCCTAACCACCACCACCATCACTATTCGAACATTACAAGTCAAAAACCACCCGTTGCCACCAGCAGCAACCAGCAGCAGTGGCTTTCGCACACAGCCAGCCACCACCCTTCCCCGCCACTCAAATTTAATTAATTTTACCTCAAATAAAATAAAAAATAATCCCCTGCATTTACAATGAATTCCTCCAAATAATTCAAAAATATTTTAAATACGCTATATTTATCATACCACTTCTTCAGCAAAAAAAAAAGAACACCGGAAATAAAATCCTCCGAAGCACGTTTTGGATAACCACTCTCAACTTCGGCACTACGAGTAACGACGCTATTACGGAAGGTACAACAAGAGAAACAAACAATAAGGTTAAGCGGTAAGTTTACCAACCTCGACAAAATCTCGGAGGACAAATGTCGGCACCCACTTCGGCGAGCGATACATGGACCGCCGCATGAGGATCATCAGATCTTCCGCCCGCTGCGGTAGCAAAATCTCAGTGACGTCCCTCTTCTCTCCAGCCACCATCTCCCTCATCTCCTTTGCCGTCGCACAGATCCCAGACGTCAGGATCACGAGCCGCTCCACCTCCTCCGCCTCTGCCGCAAGCCGAAACGCCACAAAGCCACCGTAACTGATCCCCGCTACGGAGTACTTCTCCACCCCCAAACCCCTCATCGCCGCAGACACGCATCTCGATTGGAACCCCACCGACCGCTCACCGCTTGAGGAGAGTGACCGGCCGAAGTAAACCAGGTCGGGAATGTAGAGGTCGAAACAACGGGAAAGCGGGCCGATCTGGCGATGAAATTGCCACTTAGAGTTACCGCCGAATCCGTGGATGAGGAGCAGGGCGTGTTTTTGTGGTCGCCGGCGACGCGGGACCCAGATGTGGAGGGACGTGGCGGCGTTTCCACCGCCAACGTCAATGGTGAGTGTTCGGGTGGAGAGACCACAGATGCGGAAGAGGAGGCTGAGTTGGATTTCTTTGAGGGCGACGAGGCTGAGACGGCGATTGGGTGGAATGGGAATGAGGGTGAGGAGGTAGACGACGAGGCAGCAGAGGATGCGATGGAGGAGGTGGCGAGGTGTAGTGGCTTCCATTTGTTGTGAGGGTGAAATACGACGAGATTCTGGTTTAGGGTAGGCCAGGAGGGAATGGAGCGGACGACGACGAGTGTGACATTGAACAGGTTTATAGGGTTTTCTTTTGGCAGGTGGCGCGTTCCGACCTGGTATGGGTTAATGTTCATCTGAATAGATTTTAAGTTATGGCGGTGCCGTGATGGCCCAGTTTCGCCACTCGGCATGACCTGTGGCAACCTGCGCTCATTCCTGCTGGATATAATGGCTTATCACACTGATCGCTGCTATGACGTTTTGTTGTAGAACTTATTTTTTTGAGTTTTTTTTTTATATACAAAAGGAATTACAATACCTTAAAAAATCAAAAGCCCCCTAAATATACAAGAAATAAAACGAAATCTATGAGCTAAAAATCAAAACTAAACGAAACACAAGCAAAGGAAACAAACGGCAGCCTAAAAAGCAAACCAAGCAAACAAAAACTCAAAGAAGGCCGACCGGTGAAGTAGAAGCCAATAAAAGCACCACAACAATCCACGCCAAACTCAAGGAGGAAAGCATAACAGGAACAGAAGACAAACTCAGGCCGCCACCGGATGCAAGGCTAAGGCCATCCAAGAAAGAGAAATCAAAGACCACCACAACTAGCCTTGTTTTTTTTTTGGACTTCCGCTTCTTACGTTTAACACTCTTATTGCTAAAGTCGGCGTCAACAATTTGAAGGATACTCAAGTCGAAATTATCCCGAGAAGCCGAATCACCCTCATTGAAACTTTCATCATCATGTGAATTTTCATCATGAAGTCAATCGCCATGTAATACCTCACTATCCCTAGATAGGTGAGAAAGCATTACATCCCTAGGTACAATAGTTATAGGCACAATAAAAATCGGACCATCAAAACTTTTAGACAAATAGTCGTCACCCTCAGAAAGTGGCCTAGTAATCATAGTACCAGGCCGAAAACAACCCTCAGGTGAAGCAGCACCAATATCATGAATCTCATCACCCTCCCAATCATCAAGCTGCTGCACCACACCGGCAACATCCGGCAAGTCAGGACAGTCCGAAGAGGCAACAACAATCACACAGCTCTTCCCCAATGGACTCAGAGCAAAGAGCTCGACAACTTCCTCATTTAACAAACAGGACATACTAACAAATAGAACAGTATTCGATGGTATAGCATTAGGACTAACCACCACGGGCAAAATCACATTATCACTAACCACTATATCACCCTCGCTAGGATCAGCAGCCACATCCAGAGCCACTTGGTTAACACCACCCACTTTTTCACCTTATTTTTCCGAGTTGTTCTTTTTTATTATTTTTAGGTTTTTGTTTTTGGGAGGTATTGTTTTTTAACCCTTTTTATTCAATATATATGGCCATATGGGCTGAAGCCCTAATTTTCCCAAAAAATGATTTTAAGCTATGGCGGGTCATATTGAGTAGATGTTATCTTTACTAAATTAATACTCACATAAATAGAGTGAAATGCAATCAAAATTTGATTTGATTTTACTAAAATTTTGATATAAATTTAATTTATATATATATTTGTTTTATAATTAAATTTTGAATCATCTGAATTTTAATTTTAACAAATGAATAGTCAAATTGAATGACACAAAAAGATTTGATTTGAGTATGAGCTCAAATCAAGAATTTGATGTATAATTAAAAATTTCATAATATAAATTAGGAGAAAATGATCTCTAAATCTCTTATGTTAATAATAATAGCGAGCATTTTAATTAGATGAATCCAACAAACCAAAAATCTTCCAATTTTGATTGTATTAAAATGAAAAAAAAAAGTTATCAATGAATGAGGTAATCAGTACAATTGTATTTAGAGTGTTGTGAATTTTGATAATATTTATAGAACAATCAACTTTCTAGTTTCCAATATCTAGTAATCGCTTTTGTCTTTTAGCTAAAATAATATATGTGAGCTTTTTATTTGTATGGAGAAAACTTAGGAAGGGAAGAAGACAAAAGCGGTTCTTGATTGTTTAAATCACATATATATAATACACTCAATTTATCAGAAATTTCAGTTTCATTTGCTTTTCCTATTTCATTGTTCTAGATTGCAGGTATCTGGATACTCTTGGTGCAGGTAACACATCACTACTCTCTCTATATGAAGAGGGACGGTGTGGTGCGAAAGATTTGACTAAACCCTTAAGTTTAAGATTTAAAAGAGGTAAAACTCGAGCACCACTATCATCTCATCACCGTCAGACTGCCACAGTTAAAGCACCACCAAATTTTCACCATCAAAACATTGCCTCAATCACTACCATCAAACCAACATAGTTTCACCACCATTCTTGGACAATTACTACCAGACCATCGCACATTCGTCTTTGACGAACCACCATCGACCGACGATCATAGTATAATCACCATTGTCCGATGGTGGCCATCAAATTGCTGTCCATTTGCCTAATCCTCTGACCATCACTAGACTTAGCCCTTTCGACTACCATGACTCAATTATAGCCATCTAACCATAATCATCTAACCCCGACCACATCACACAACTATGGTCCTCATTTAACAAACAGGGCATACTAACAGATAGAACAGTATTCAATGGTATAGCATTAGGACTAACCACCACGGGCAAAATCACATCATCACTAACCACTATATCACCCTCGCTATGATCAACAGCCACATCCAGAGCCAGTTGGTAAACAACACCCAATTTATCACCTTATTTTCTTCTTTTCTTCTTTTTTTTTTTTTTTTTTTTTTTTTTATGAATAGTCAAATTGAATGACACAAAAAGATTTGATTTGAGTATGAGTTCAAATCAACAATTTGATGTATAATTAAAAATTTTCATAATATTAATTAGGAGATAAAATGATCTCCAAATCTCTTATGTTAATAATAATAGCGAGCATTTTAATTAGATGAATCCAACAAATCAAAAATCTTCCAATTACACAACTCCCCTTGGCCTATTGGTTGAGAGCTTAGGCTTCCAACTAAGAGGTTCAAGGTTCGAGTTCATGTATATGCATTGTGTGTATGAGTTTGCCTTAAATGGCCTAAATGTCCCAAAAAAAAAAAAATCTTCCAATTTTGATTGTATTCTGACACAAAAATGAAAAAAAAAAGAGTTATCAATGGATGAGGTAATCAGTACAATTGTATTTAGAGTGTTGTGAATTTTGATAATATTTACCCTTTATAGAACAATCAACTTTCTAGTTTCCACTATCTAGTAACCGCTTTTGTCTTTTAGCTAAAATAATATATGTGAGCTTTTTATTTGTATGGAGAAAACTTAGAAAGGGAAGAAGACAAAAGAGGTTCTTGATTTTTTAAATCACATATATATATATATAATACACTCAATTTATCAGAAATTGCAGTTTCATTTGCTTTTCCTATTTCATGGTTCTAGATTGCAGGTATATGGATACCCTTGGTGCAGTTAACACATCACTACGCTCTCTATATGAAGAGGGAGGGTGTGGTGGGAAAGATTTTACTGAACCCTTAAGTTTGAGATTTAAAAGAGGTAAAACTCGAGCACCACTATCATCTCATCACCGTCAAACTGCCACAGTTAAAGCACCACTCAATTGTCACCATCAAAACATTGCCTCAATCACTACCATCAAACCAACATAGTTTTACCATCATTCTTGGACAATTACTACCAGACCATCGCACATTCGTCTTTGACGAACAACCATCGACCGACGATCATAGTATAATCACCATTGTCCGATGGTGGCCATCAAATTGCTGTCCATTTGGCTAATCCTCTGACCATCACTAGACTTAGCCCTTTCGACTACCCTCACTCAATTATAGCCCTCTAACCATAATCTCCTAACTCCGACCACATCACACAACTATGGTCCTCCGATCACTCTCATTTAATTATGACCTGACCATTGAAGTCAAATTAAGGTTTTCGGACCACTGTTGGTTGACTACAGTACTTTGATCATTTTCACTCAACTATAATCTTCCTTTCACTATTCCCCAACGTTGGTCCTTTGTTCAACATACATCAATTTGGGTCCTTCAAAAATCATCGTATGACTACGATCCTCAAATCATCATGATTCAGCTACAATCGTCCTCTCACAACCCAATTTGATAAGACCGATATATCAGATAGGTCCTGTCACGTCAACTTACAACATGAAAATCCAAAAAAAAAAAAAAAATTATTTTTTCTTTCAAATTCTTGCTTTAAACATACCACCAACTATAGAGGTACTAATAGCATAGAGTGCTCAAAATAAACTCATTCATAAACTTTTTTTTTTCATTTATCATCAAAATGTATATACAACTACAATACATAACTAAAGGCAAAGCTACATAATAGAGAAATAAAAACTAGTCATTATTGTATAAAATCAAAAGGAATAAATATCTCTACAAATGCAGATCAAAACCTGAAACTACTATACAATTGGTCATTTCCCCATATTAGATCTTGAAAATATAAGGTGAAATTACAGTGAGCTAACGCAACTCAACAGACAATATTTATTAATCTAAATTTTCAAATAATTCCATTAATAAAATATATTAACTTTAATGAAGTATAATACATCACAATGTGAAGCAGAATTGTAATTGCAATCATCAGAAATTTAAATAATAATGTTGGGAAATGAATAAATAAACAATACTCTATTCGATATTGAATTTCAAATAATTCTAACTCCTCAAGCCCCCACCCTATCTCAGACATAATTCAAAGATCTTGACCTCTTATGCCTCCCAACATGCAAATTCAGAAATTCTGATAGCAAATGTGTGTATATAGCACTAGAATATACCATTGGTTATCAAAATGTGTATTTAACACTATAATATATCTTCCTCCATCCATTTTTAGAACTTCATAGAATCACACCATTCAATCAAATAAGCATATAATTCATTGCAATGTAGAAATTGAAGCATAAATGAACTCAAAACAAAAATTCACAACTTCTACACTACTATGCGAGGGTAGGTGAAAAAATGCATTATTGTATTAAATTCATTGTTCTATAACATAACTAAATTACTAAGGATTATGCCGAATACTATTTTAAGCCTTTAATTATACCAACAATATTATTTTTCGAGTTTCAAATTAATTTTCAAATAAATAAAAGTCAGACA